TCCATCCCAGGTTCAATCATCAGTATTGGTTCGATCTACCAATTTTTTGTAGGAATGAGCATAGAGAGTTTTCTAAACATGGTTCTTTAATTCCTGAGGAAGTGTTCTTAGACTAAATGTAAAAAAAAAGAGGAAAACACCCTATTGACAGAATCTATTCCAGTCAACTTCAACCAAATAATTGATATAAGCACAAATTACAGAGAAACCTTTACCATTTACTTTAGGCCTGCCATGTGACCATTGCTCTTTAAAACAGCAGTGGCCCCGATCTTAAGTTTTCCCTCTCAGGATGTAGCCTGCTCACTCTGTTTGCAGCCGTAAGTGCAAATGCCACAACCTCTGGGTCTCCCTACTTCTAACATAAACAGATATGGTTTTAATGATGAAATGTTGAAATGTCCATCTAACTGACTTGCACAGAATCTCCAGAGGCATACAATGAACAGAAACCTAAAACAGAAAAAAAAAACGTCACAAGAAATTACCTTCAACAAGAGAGAGAGAAACAAAAACCAAACAAAAGAAAATCCAGCCTGGCCCATAATTCACCATCGACTCACAGGGCAAGTGCCCGCTTTGCCTAATTGCAGTCCAGCAATGGGCGACACCCTCTGTCGTGTCAGTATTTCTTTTTTCTGCCTACTTTACAAATGCCCGGTTTGGCATTCTCATAAGCGTCTTTGCAGTATTTAGCCCCTAATCATGACCTGAGTAATGGCGGCATCATTTTCCTTTAGCTGCTTGTTCACTCAGCCATAATGCATTGTTTGGCTACCAAATACTTTTTTTTCTGCTATTGAAAAGATATAGGTTTGAGCAATAATTGTCTCTCAATAACCTTTTCACACCTACCAAGGTTCATTTGAGCAGTGTTGTGCCTGAACGCGTTCATTGAACGAAAGTTCATGAACTCGTTCATATTTTGGTCGAACGTGAACTGCACGTACTGCATTACTGCCTGATGAACGTTATTGTGAACTCGTTCATTCTGGTGTCTGTGAACGGCACGCTCTCTCAGTTCAACTCCGTTCAATAGGTTGCCAAATTTCTATAGAGTCCTCCAGGCGAAACCACACCGTAAACAGGTCTTAATATGTAGCGGGAAAAACACCCAATCTGGCAACACCAGCTACCAGGGTCGTAGCCTACAGCCGGGTGCGTCATCAAAACAAAATGCAGCGTGGAAGCCACAGCAGCATGGAGACGACCGTGGATGCAACAAAGCAGCAGTATGATCACTTAAAACAGTTTTATGACCAGGTGGTCGGTGAGGATGATGGCAACAATCTTACATTTCTCTGCAAACTTTGCCCACCGGCTTTCAGTAAAAAAATCTGCACTTCAGTAACCTTAAATTCCTACCTCAGCCTGGTCCCTCAGTTTGTGTTAGTAAAATGTTCTTGAGGATTTTACCATTCATGTAATTTGTTTGTTAAACCTGCCTGGTATAATTTTCCAGGATTCCTTTTTAGTATGTACTTAAATGGAATTTCAAATTGAAAAAAATATTAAAATTAAAAAAACATTTGCACCTTAAAGACTACTTTCCTGTTTTTCTTTTAATAATTCCTCATAAAAAAGACAAATTTTTCCTGATGTTTTTGAGAATATACTTTAGGGGTGAAAGCTGCAGCTGCTACTAGTGTGAAGTGAATGGACAGCAACAAATCATTAAAGCAACAATGGGGAAATGCTGTCCCCTCAATGCTAATGTAAACCCTGGTTGGATAAGGATTCAAAACTGGATATGAAGATGAAATCTGATGCACAGTTTCAGAGTTACAACTGATAAAATAATTGCTGTCTGTGGTTCTACAGTAGGCTATGGTGTAATTGAGCAATATTTGAAAAAAAAAAAGAACTGAACTAGTTAGGGTTAGGGATTTTTTGGAACTGTGAACTTAGTTCAAAATTTTGAATTATGAACTATGAACTGAACTAGTTCATTTTCAAATGTGTGAACTGAACTTTGAACTAGTTCACGTAGAAGGAGAACTTTCCCAACACTGCATTTGAGCACTTTGGGAGAGTGTCTGCTGAATCTCACAGCCATCTTGTTCTGTTTTATATATTTTGGGGCTGAAAATGTGATATTTGAGACTTTTTGTGTCGATGTGATTGTGTGAGACATCTCTGATGTGGCTGTTTTTATATTGTTGACACTTTACAACACAGTATTTTATTGTTTATCCTTTATCTCTACACTTGTATGTTATTCTTATACATGTCTCTAAGGTCCACATTTGTGTGACCATTTTTTCTCTATCTTTTTGCTGTGGTAAACATCAGAATTTCCCCATTGTGGGACAATAAAGGGATTATGTATTATATTCAAGTTTTACTTTCATGACCTGGATTGACCTCAGCAACTCTTATTCACATGCAAAAAACTATTGAGTTGCAGGGTTACACAATCATCAAGCAAGTGTGCTATTTCTCATTAACAGCACTATGTTGTAGTTTTTCATAATTCTAAAGCTTCTGGTTTAAAATATAGAGCAAGTATCACTGCACCTTTTGTTGTATTGAACAAAGCTGTCAAGGATTTCTTACTTAAGTGAGACTGCTGTTAAATTTACTGTTAACTTCACTTCTGGAGTGAAGTTAATCTTCTTGAAGCCAAAAATAAAAGCAGTTTTCAACAAAAGAGTTTAAAGTTTTTACTTCTTTCACAATAATTGATTTTTTGTATTGACAAATTGTAAAAACTGGATCTCTTCCTGTAATGAGGACACCACTACCCCTCTAATACATCTTAATTGGTTTGCTCTTCGGTTGCATATTATAACTATTAAAAGCCAAAATACCTGCTATACATAACAGATGATCAACCAAGTCAGCTTGCATGTCTTCGGCATTGCACAAATATGTTGTGTTGGGTGAGAGTTATCGAGGAGACCATTGAAACAGAAACACATTTAATGCATCTTGCACATGTATTAAAATGTAAATTACATTCATATTTCTTTTGAGTTACATTCTGAATAGTATTGATTATGCCCTACCTTTTACAAAAAAACAAAAAACAAAAAAAAACAACAACAATAACCCACCACTACAAAGATTAAAAAACCTCTTTTAAAATCAATAAGCCATATATGATATTAGGTCAACAAAACAGGAACAGCAGAAGTTATTCACGCTCACCTAATGCAAAAAAAGAAAAATAATATTCTAATGTGCTCATACACTTACATTGATAAGACTATATATAAACATAACGGTTATTCAAAAAATGTTTTTTCACAGATCCTTCAAGAAATTGATTAAATTGGGAACAACAGTTGGTATATATCGTAAAATAACACCAACAAGTAAATGCAGTCAAAGAATAAGAATCAGAGTATCAGTTGGAGCCTATTTTCTATCCACATAAAAAGTAAGGAGCATTTATATGAAAGTAAATTTATATCAAAAGGCATATTGGCACCAACTGTTGAATTAAATGTCAATAAAATTTTACAAGCTTGGAGTAAATATATCAAATTTACAGTATAAATACCCCACCAGTATGACACTAAATAGAGAAAACCAATCTAATAAGGTTCACATAGGTTGGAAATTTATTTAACTTTAAATGGTAAATGTGGTATTGTATTTTTACAATACGTTTATACCAGATGGTATAAGCTCAAGTTTGTTGAAACACTACATTTAGTTAACAATTTTCTCCCAAATTGACAATTTCTAATATCTGCTAAATGTATTTAACTAATTGGAAGATGCAACTAAAACATAGAAGGCAGCATTCATAAAATAACTAGTTGTTTTTGTCTGACTTTCAGCCATTTGGACTGTGTTCCGTAAAAATTCCCAAAAAAATATCCACTGGACTTGGTTTCCAGGAAGCTTTCTCAATTCAATTAGGATTATTTTTGGAAGTTTTCTCAATAACTGTTCAAGTCCTTAAAATATAGAGAAAAAAAAAATCACTGTAAGGATATAATATTTTTGTTATAAAGTAATAAACGTAAAAAAAAAAACATGAAAAGGATACTGTTTTCAAATGAAAGTATATTGTATATAACATGAAAAGGTATTTACTGTTAGATCAAAATTTCAAAGTTTAACTGTAGATATAGTTTTTAGTTTTCTTTTGCGTGGGTAAAGTACTTATGTAAAATACAGCTGAAAGTCAGAGCTTGACTTTTGTATTACAATAATAATAATTAAAAAAAACTTGCATTACTGATCAAAAGACCTTAGGATTCTTTTCTGAATTTTTTGGAGAATTAACCTATTGAAGGGACAGGTCACCACCACATTTAGAATCCATAGCAGAAGTGCACACGCAAGTAGGTTGATTCCATAGAATTTTGTAATCTTTTTGTTTTCTATTTCTTCTTCTGCAAAACCTCAGCTTTGGATACGGACTGGTTTGTGGACTGGATCAGATCGGAACCATATGCTGGACCCTTCTCCCATCCCATCTCCCATCCAGTCAACACATAGTAAAACCTCCTTCCATTTATCACCATCTGATGATCGGTTAAGGGGCTTTAGCTTGGATGAGTGTAGTTAATTAGGTTTTCCATGCATTTTATAGAGACACTTGATTTTGAAAGCTGATGGTTCATCTTAAAGAGTACTAAACAGAACACCGGTTTTATGAAGTGTGTGTGAATGAAAGTGTGAATGGATTATTTTTGTTTTTCCTCTCTTTCTCATTTGTCCTGAAGTTTAATGTGCTAAAAGTGAACTGATAGCATTGTGAGCCCTTTTTGATGGCTCATTGTGGCCACGTGGTGTAGGTACAGATATTTTATAAGTTTTAAGACCCATTGTGCTCCCAGCACTGTTAACTCCATCTCATTTGACCATATAGTAAGGGCCACCACCTTGTGGTTCCATGACTCTTTGTCTCAGCAGAGCACCAACCTCCAGCTGAGTCTTAAAGAGGAATGCCGTTTTTTTTTTTTTACGTTGGGCCCTTGATTTTACGTTATTACATCATGTTCTACTCACCCATATGAGTTTTGTGTCATTTGGAGCCATTCTGAAGATATTCCGTTAGGTTATATCCAAGTAACGTCTTCCTATGGGCAACGAGTTGAAGGCACAAACTAAACTGTTCATAATGTATTCTTTACGGTATGCCAGCATCATAACATGTAGTTGAATCACTTTCCCCCACACATCTGCGGTTATATTTTTATGATATTGAGATTTTTTTTAAACAAAGCGGAGTGTGTATGACGTCATCCGAATATCTTCAGCACAGCTCCAAATGACATAAAACTCATATGGATGAGTAGAACATGATGTAATAACATAAAATCAAGGGCCCAATGTAAAAAAAAACGGCGTTCCCCTTTGTTCTTAAAACTCTTGCATCAATACTGTATTATTTAATGCATTTGTGACCCATCATCACTACCCATTGAAAGTTGAATGAAACAACATTGTTTAATTGCATTTAAATCTCTGCATTAATTGTTATTTACATATACCTCCTGCTGTTTTGAACAGACATCACTGAATGCATTATTGCATCTAGCTTAACTTGGACATTCCCTGAAAAATTCTTTGAATGGACTTTTAGATCCCCTTTCACCCTATTTCCAAAATTATTTGTTTTATCTACTTTGTGCTTTATTTTTCCAGTAGTGTGTACTGTGTGCATAGGTGTTAGATTTGCTTAAATCCTGGCTTTTAAAAAATAAAAACATCAATATTTTAAGCTGTAGTAGTTTTTGTTTATTATGCAGTAATCAATTTATCACTCAGGTCAGAGTCACCCTTCTCTCAGTAAAATTCAAATAAACAGAGAAAGTTTGGGGATTAATACATCTGCTGACAACCTAGCCTAATTCAGAGGTCAGCAACCCACAGCTCTAGAGCTGCATGTGGCTCTTTAATAACACCCTTGCAGCTCCCTGGAATAAAAAAAATAAATAATAATTTTTATTTGTTGCTTTGTGGAGAAACAATATGGAGTGCAGGAGTTAAAACAAACATTAATTATGTTTTCCAATGCTGTAAAAATGTGTATAATTTAAACCATAAAAGTAAACATTTCTGTCAATGAAGATTTGTCTCATAGCCTAAAACACACATTTTAGCCGGGGTTGGTGCGAGGAAGTGGCTGTTGTATACAAAAGGGCGGGTGTGTCTTGGGCCATTAATCCCAAAGGGGAAAAAAGGAAGATACAGTAGCTGATGAGAAAAGAGGATTCAAACAACAAGGGACCAAATCACTGGCTTTCATTACCAATGCAGAAGGATTGTCTGCATGTTTGCTTTGTAATGAAAAGTTGTCAAGTAATAAAAAGAGTAATTCAGAAAGGTGTTTCTAGGGAACGCATGCTAAATATGGAGAGTGAGAGAAAAGTGCGATTGCAGTACTCCAGAGGAGTGCATAGATAGATTTAAGAAGTAGAACAGAACTCTACTTCTACTCCTAGTTTTGTTGCAAGCATAGAAAACCATCCACAGGTAGAACAGGTTGCACTTTAAAGCAGGTATGTGAACTTTCTTTGGTGTTTCAATAATTTCATCAATGCAACAAAACCTAATACATACAAACTGCACGGTGAAGGGAGATGAAACAGCTGTGAAACTGTGAGCAGTGAACTCCATGTTGTGAGAGCGTTCTTAAACTTAAAGCACCAAATGTCGTCCAGCAGAGTAGTCACATGATGTGACATTTGCTCAAGGATAAGCATTCAATCACGAATGTTTATTGTTTATTAAAGCTCAGATAGTAATTTTTTATAGTGGGCTAATACACTTACAGCCAGTGTTGCAATACAAGGCCTATATAACACTTTTACATATTTGCAGCTCTAGACAGATTTGTTTTTATTGTCCAATTTGGCTCTTTAAACAGTTTGGGTTACCAACCCCTGGTCTAATTACTAAACTGGTGCTGACAACTGGATATTAAACAGCCCGTCAAGGAGTCTAACCCTGGCTGTAAAAGACCAAGAACCCTGGCAAGTAAGCAAATTACAGTTCTAATCCTTCTACTAATAATAATTAATTGGTTTAACTCTGTATTCTGAATGACCTATTAATAAAAATTTTGCAAAAATTCATACTTTAATTTCATGCTTTTTTTACATAAACATTAATTGTCTTTTTTGCCAAAAAGGTTAAGTTAAACACAAAACAGTTTCTGCAGAAACTGTTTATTTCTCCCCTGGGAGCAAACAATTCTCCTTACCTGTGTGAATGATAAACTGAAACCTGAGAGCAGTAGAATATAAGTGACCCGACGTGATCAGAGGCGTTAAATGTCTCAAGTTGGATTCCTGCAGAGGCTGTCAAAAGGTTTTGGACGTTTGCCTCAAACAACTTCTCATTACTCTTTTTATGTTATTCTCAAGGCTGAATCTGAGCTCTGCCACCACCATGGAGAATGGAATTACAAGCCCTTCAATCAAATTATGAAAATCTGGGAAATGTTTACCAAATGAGGTGGTCAGAAGTTGACAAAATGAGGGGTTTCCTTTTACAGCAAGGGTTTGCATTAGCGGTAGAAAATCTGGTTGAAAAATCTAATTAGAACACCGTTCTGGCCCAAGTGGTGAGGGTGTGAATTGCTATCAGTCAAAATGACCAATGGCATTCAGATATTTCCATCAACTTTCAAAAGAAAGGGTCAAATACAGAAAATATTCGGTTTACTAAACCTCTGATTACGACTGACTTTTTGGTAGCCATTTTCGTTGTGAAATTCTGGCACTGAATGTAAAAATGCTCACACCATGCCCCTGTCGAATAGGACTTTTGCTTTTTGAAGGTTTTGCAGTATCTGAACTTTTTTTTCTATATCTTCACTTAATTTATACAATATCTAGTTAACTTAGCTGAGATTGATTGATTTATCATAATAGAACTGTTCACAATCAAAGAAAAAAAAGATAAAAAAACAAGTGGCAAAATTCTTAGCCACTGTCTTACATATGGCAATCTATTATGCCTGGCTGCTTGACCCATTTGGAGCTGACTCTGCAGAACCTTCAGAATTGGATGATGTTCGCAAATTCTGCTGCAAATACAAAAAAAGAAAGGAAAATAGTTTGTAATTGTATGCAATAACTTTCATCACATACGGTCCTTAATACATGTGGCTAAATTGAATCATGGTTAAAGAAACCTCACCTGCCACCTGAAGTTGAAAGATCAGAGTTTCTGTCTGATTTCAACAACCATCAAACAGAAAATATAAATATATAAATCAAACTTCCTAACCATCAAAGCACAACCGAGTGTTGGTGCGGCTCAGGTCCATCCCTGCTTGACTCCAGTGTAGCAACTGTCCTGATAATTATTGAGATGGGATACTTATCCCTGTTAAATTATCACTAATTAAAAAAGAATATGAAACTCTAAAGAATTTGTGGACATTCAATTACTTAAGTATTGCGACTGTTGATTTCATTTATATTGGTAAAATTGTCCTTGTGCATGGTATGTGAATTATTTGGAGGTTATAAGAGTTCCCTTAGCAAAAATATATTAAAAAAACGCTATATAGGGACTAATAGATAAATGTCAGCCCTTAACTATTTGTTGGTTGTAAAGGGTAGTTACTAGGGGTGTAAATAATAATCGTTTTGTATCGATGCATCGATCCAAAAGCCGACAATCCGATGCATCGACACGTCCGCAAGATAATCGATTAATGTTTTTTTTTTTCCTCCGGTCTATTTTTATCCATTTGCTCCTGGGCGTAACTCTCCTCCCTCCCTGCGGTGCCGCTAAACCTATTTTGCCCTCCTACCGCGCTTCCTGGTTATACTCTTACAGCAGTTTGTTGCAGCAAGCTTCACACAGACATTTTTAAATTATGCTCAATATTGAAGCGTGGTCTGAGCTACACGCTGTGGGTCTAGATACGGCCGAGGCGGCGAGGAAGTGGGGGCGAGTTTAGTCCGACGACGGAGGGAAAAAAGAGCAGAGATTAAGCTGGAAAAAGGCTCCCAGCGTTCTCGCGCACCTCGCTCTTCTAGCGGGTCAAACTTCACGAGTTGTTTTCCGCAATTTCGGTCATAAAAACAAAACAAGCCGGCCTCCTGTCTGGTGCACTGTTTGCGGTCAGCTACAATCTGGGAGAGGAGCAGCGAGCGTCTCTCAAGGGGCGGTGACGTCAACACTCTGGAGCCTTCTTCTTCTTCTTTTTTTTAATGGCGGTTGGCAAACAACTTATAGGTGCATTACCGCCACCTTCCAGAATGGAGTATGGACCAGACAAACTATTATATTCTCCCTAAAATACCCGTTCTTCTTAGAAAATTAAAAATACTACCAAAAACTACATCCCCAGATGACCTTTGAAACAATTCCCTTATATCTAGTTTACTTTTATTCCTGTCTAACTCTCTACACAACATCTCTCTTTCCTGAGTATATTTATTAAATTCTAAAAAAATATGTTGGACAGTTTCTCTGGAGCCGAGGTATTGCATTGAACTCATTACACTGATATTGTGCAGTATTTTTGCAGTATTTTTTGATGCAACTGTTCTACTTCTGTTATTTGCTGTTGTTTCTAAAGAAAATGCATAACGATATTACAGCTTTCATTGATTTATTTCAAACTTGAAACTTTGTTTAGCCTGTAAGGTGTAAAAAAAAAAAAAATAATAATAATAAAAAAAAAATTAATCGATTAATCGAATCGAATCGAATCGTGGTGTATTCTTAAGTATCGAAAATAATCGAATCGTTGGGTCAGGAAATCGATACTGAATCGAATCGCCATGATGGATGTGATTTACACCCCTAGTAGTTACTGTTTGAGCTACTTAGTTACTATGTTGATGCTGTTGCAGCAGAGGGGCTTAGCTCGACAACAGTCACGAGCAGCTGGTGGAGAATATTATAGGACTGTTAAAAGCGTGATCTTATCATAAGTCTTACACTACTTTTGTCCCGAACTAAAATTTGTCAGGCAAGGGTCTTAAGTCTAACAAAAAGTATTTGCATATTATAATGGATCTAAAACATGAGGAGCCTTAACCAAATCTTACCTGTGATGTAGAACCAACAAGATCACCGTTGATGGAGCGCTGCTGAACATCTGGTCTAAAATCTTCGGTGTCCTGTATAAACATTTATTTATTCCCAAAATGAGGACAATTAACTATAAAGAAAAGAAGCCTTTTAAGCATTACTTGATCTATTTTATGAATCCAGTCTCATATGCTTCATTAATAAATCTTTTAGGTGGTAACCTGAAATAGTGGGTAGCTATGCTTTTTATTGAAACATGACTTGATGACTACTGTTTTCTCCTAAGAGCTAAAGCAAATTGAATTCAATTCAATTCAGTTTATTTATATGGTGCCAATTCACAAGACATGTAATGTCAAGGGACTTTTCAATACAGCCAGATCATACAGTCAAGTTGTTTCAAAGTTTTCTATTTAAAGAAAACCAGCTGATTGCATCAACTCCTTTACTCAAAGGGAAATCCCTCACACCAAGCATGCTTGTAGTGACAGTGGAGAGAAAAAAACTCCCTTTTAACAGGAAGAGACCTCCAGCAGAACCAGACTCAGTTTGAGCGGCCATCTGCAGAGGCCAACAGGGGTCCAAGGACACAGAAACATACATTCAGAAAGAAGCAGAGATACTACTTTCAACTTTCAACCAGCTCCACAGGCAGCCCCATCCAGATAACACACAGCCAGGCAGAAGAGCTCATAGCCAGCCCCCACGTCAGAACACGAACAGAACACATCCAGTTAGTCATAGTCAGAGAAACAGGACTACACGGAAAAAGAGGCAGAGTTCGAACATCTATAAAAAAAGGTGTTGATGGCAGCAGCACGGCTTATTTTTCTCTCTTGGATGGTGTCACATCTAAAAGGGAACAGACCAGATCAAGCTACTATGAGAAAAAGCAGAGAGAGCATAGCTCATGGCTGAAAAAAAAATCTTACCTGCTGTCTGTTGATCATTGATGTGAATCGCTCTCTCATTCTGGAAACCTACAAACAGAAACATCTATCAGTCATAGGGCATAGATAATTTTTTTAAAATCTAGAATAATCTCACTGTAATCTTGGGCTTAATCTAGATTAAAATGGCTCATTTGAATTCTGCCAAAGGAGTTGCTGAATCAGAATCACAATTATATTATTAATCCCTTGCGGGAAATTTTTTCTTGCAGTGCAATCGGTTACCGAGGAGAGAAAAATAAAATTGTAAGTACAAATATGATATTAGAATAAAATAAATAGAATAAATAAATAAAAGTAAGTCTTTGAACAGGTTTCTGAAGCCAGGTGGCACAATAGACCAGGGACTCATCTCCTGTTTCCAAAATAGATGACAAACTGCTGCAGAAAGCTTTTCTACATGGTAACTGGTGATAAAAAAAAATAATTCAGTAAGATATAACTGTGTTTAATAGCTCTTAATTCAGAAAAATGTTAAGCAGGACTCACCTGAAAACTTTATTAATGAAGCTTGTTAAACTAGATTTAAAAAATCTAGTTTAACAAGCAGGCAGTCAGGTATCTCTTGGCATAACACCTGCAGAGAGCTCCTTGCCAGCAGGGGCTACAGCTTGCTGCAAGTAGGGCAGCTCCCATTTGCAACAACTGAAAAATGTTGCAAATTATGATGGATCTAAAATATCAGGAGCCTTAACCGAATCCTACCTGTGATGTGGAACCAGCAAGATCATCGTTGATGGGGCATTGCTGAATAGCTGGTCTCAAAACTTCATTGACCTGTATAAACATTTATTTTTTAAATCTAGTTTAACAAGCTTCATTAATGAAGTTTTCAGATGAGTCCTGCTTTTTCCTCTTCTATAAAGCTAATTTAATTATTGAAAAAATCTTACCTGCAGTCTGTTGGTCGTTGATGTGAATCGCTCTCTCATTCTGGCAACCTATACAAAGAAACATCTATTAGTCACACAAACATTTTCAACATTACCACCCAGATGAGTGTTGTAACTAACCATTTTTAACCTTTTGTGACCTCTGTGTAGCCACTTTTTTGTTCTCAAATAAAAACACCCACACACCTGGGTTGCCAAGAGGATATGTCTTGCAAAATTGCTTCTCCTAAGTGGGATCGGGAAGCTTTGATTTTGCTTTAGGAACTGTTGTGGGGGCTTACAGGTTTAGGAATAAGGCAATACAAGCATCTTTGAATCAACACTTTAAGTTTGTGTTTGGTTGTCAGGATGTTATGCTGGTTACTGAGCAGAGTTTTGTGTGTTAGATGTTCCAAAAAAGTAAAAAAAACAATCCACTGGACTTTGTTTCCAGGTTTGAAGGCGTTTCACTTCCCATCCAAGAAGCATTTCAATTACAAATGTGAATGGAAATGCCTGTGAAGCAAAACATCTTCAAACTTGGAAACAAAGTCCAGTGGATTTATTTTTAACTTTTTTACCATTATTATGATCTGGATGACTGAGAATCTGTTGGGATCTGGAGCTGTACCACCTTCCTCCAGCAGAGTGCGCCGTGGGTTCCCTAGAGCTGGAGTCGTCCAGCACACCTGAGGCGCATCTTCTCATCAGAGACCTGCCCTATATAACCTGCTGCCAGACCTTGCTTCGACGCTGCAGTGTTGACCTAGTTTGGTTAGCGACCTGAGCCTTGAACCAGAGAATCTTTGCTGTCTCCTTAGAGAGATCTGATTCTAATTCTCCCTTGTTTTTTGCCTCACAGGAAACCTGTCTCTACCTGAGGCTCTGGATGAGCTTAACCTGCCGAGATTGCCCTCGTGAGCCAAACCTGAAGATTCCTATGTGGATTCCCCTGCAGCTCTTGGCTAAGAGCTGGAAACTTAGATCAAGGTCTGCCCTAAAGTCAGAAGCAAGACGCTGCAGCAGCTCTTGGACTCTGCTGAACAAACAGTCTCTGGATCCATAAGTTCCCTCTCTCTCAAAGAGAAACCCGGACTCCTTCAAGGTATTCATTTGAATAATCTAAGACTCATAACTCATCAGTTCGTCTCCTAATCAAACTATCATCCCTGCAGACTCCAGTGAACCAGCCCTGACCAGTTCCAGTTAATGTACATGATTCTTGTGTTTGTGCAAACAATAAACTCTGTTAAACGTTTACCCAGCCTCCGTGTGTGTTCTGCATTTTGGGCTAAGTTCTGAGACCCATCATGACAGAATCTTTACAAACATGTGTGTTAATTGAAGTTCCTTTTTTCCCTCCCCCCACAATAAAGTAAAAAGTATTGCTACTTATTTATCAGACAGACAAAAACATGGAGAGTAATGTCTTTATTATAACTGTAGTGGATTACCAAGCCAAGTTTAATTTGGGGTCCATTAAAGGTTGTGAAATTTAATATCAAAGATTTAAACAGCACTATATAAATAAAAGCGATTTATTTGTACTTAAAAAAATAAAAACAGATATTGCACACTTACAAGAGCCATTTATCAGAGAGGGAGCTTAAAAAGCTCAAAAGAGACTGGGTGGGCAGGTTTTCTACTCTTTATTCGGTTCAAAGTTGAGAGGAACAGCAATCTTGCCACATTAAAAACATCCCGTTTATTGCTATTAAATCTATGGCTGACCCTTCATCTAGCTATATTCAATACGATGGCAAATGTTTTTGGAATACTGGACTTTTATGATTGCATCAACTCCTTGACTCAAAGGAAATCCCTCACACCAAGCATGCTTGTAGTGACAGTGGAGAGGAAAAACCTCCCTTTTAACAGGAAGAAACCTTCAGCAGAACCAGACTCAGTGTGAGCGGCCAACTGCAGAGGCCAACAGGGGTCCAAGGACACAGAAACATACATTCAGAAAGAAGCAGAGATACTAAAGGCAACTTTCAACCAGCTCCACAGGCAGCCCCATCCAGATAACACACAGCCAGGCAGAAGAGCTCATAGCCAGCCCCCACGTCAGAACACATCCAGTTAGTCATAGTCAGCGAAACAGGACTACACAGAAAAAGAGGCAGAGTTTGAACATCTATAAACAAAGGTGTTGATGGCAGCAGCACGGCTTATTTTTCTCTCTTGGATGGTGTCACAGCTAAAAGGGAACAGACCAGATCAAGCTACTATGAGAAAAAGCAGAGAGAGCATAGCCATGGCTGAAAAAAAATCTTACCTGCTGTCTGTTGGTCATTGATGTGAATCGCTCTCTCATTCTGGAAACCTACAAACAGAAACATCTATCAGTCTTACGGCATAGATAATTGAAAAAAAATCTAGATTAATCTCACTGTAATCATGGGTTTAATCTAGATTAAAATGGCTCATTTGAATTCTGCAAAAGGAGTTGCTGAATCAGAATCACAATTATATTATTAATCCCTTGCGCAACATTTTTTCTGGCAGTGCAATCAGTTACAGAGGAGAGAAAAATAAAATTGTAAGTACAAATATGATATAAGAATAAAATTAAAATAAGATTAGAAAGACATGTATGTCCTACCTAGATAATAAGTAAATAAATAAAAGTCTTTAAACTGCTTTTTCAAGCCAGGTGGCACAATAGACCAGGGGCTCATCTCCTGTTTCCAAAATAGATGACAAACTGCTGCAGAAAGCTTTTCTACAATGGTAACTGGTGATAAAAAAAGATAATTCAATAAGATATAATTGTGTTTAATAACTGTTAATTAAGATAAACGTGACTTCTGAACTTTAGGCCTACATAATAGGTCACGATTATCTGTTTACAGTCAGTAGCTTTGTGTCAGTCAGTCCAAGCTCTATTTCTACTTTTTTCACCAGTCACTCAGGCAGTCACTATAATGTCCTGTGAGGCTGGAGTAGCAGCAAGGGCTGCTGGGTACTGTCAAGATAGGGAAAACATCACCATTTTATCCAAATTTTGTGTGAAAGAGCGTTGTTTATGTAAGTAGTCTGTTCAGACTAAGCTAACATTATGTTCTGGAGGTTGCAGCTCTAAGTGTGAACATTGGCATCATCGGAAGCATGTTTCACCAGTTGAATATAAAGGAACAAGCATATATATCTTGGGATTTTGCATTGCATAAACGAAGAGCATCGTTGCTGGACCTTGGTTTCAGCATGAATTACTTGCTGGCAAAATGCTACAATATGAAGGAGAAAGTCATCATCAATATAGACTAAGCTCCCAACCTAACTTTGAGAAAAGTTAGGTTGGGAGCTTAGTCTATATTGATGTTGGTGAGTTGGTGAGAGCGTTTTAGCGTTTCCCTAGTGATTCTTTCTTCTGATTCCGTTCCCTCTCACCCACTGGCCTTGTGTGTCCCTGCCTGATCTGACCCCCTGAACCTCAGTTGGACTCCTGCTGGATTCTGCCTCTCTGTGCGTTTCTGTCTGAGCTGGACGGTGATGCACGGGACTCTGAACCTGTCTTCCAAAGTTCATGTTTGTCTGACCTGGATGATCGACGTACATGACTCTGAACCTGTCCTCCAAAGTGCATTTCTGTCTGAGCTGGATGCTCAACGCATGGGACTCTGAACCTGCCTTCACGCTCTGATGGATCCCTCAGCCCCGGATGTGTCCGTTCCTGAGTGCACCAATCAGTTAAACCAAGTAAGTGACTCACTCTAATAATCATCTTCTGATTATTAGAGTCATCACTTCAATATTGTTCTCTTCCTTTTCTTCCTTTGGTTTTATTTTACTTCCTGCTGTTTTGTTTTCTGTGGCATTTTATGCTTGTACTTTTTAGCTCCCTGTTTTTAATGTTTTTATCTGCCTGTACAGTGTCCTTGGGTGTTGTGATAAGGCGCTTTCAAATAAAATGTATTATTATAGTTATTATTATTATTATTCTGTTAAGATGATCGTAGTCACTGACCTGTTTTTTTCCCACAACCAGAGTGTCTGAGATTGGGCAGTGCCCCGCCGCCCTCCTGCAGCAGCCACGAGCCGCAGATCCACAGCAGTGTGCTTCTGTCCTGTTTGTGTTAATAAACGTTTTGAACTTTCCTACTGGCTGTCTCACCTTGAATACTGGGCCCATCTGTCTCATTTCATGACTATATATATATAAAATCCTCAAATTAGGCCAAAAGGTTTTTTGCCCAGTGGACAGTACTTCAACAGAATGGATCATACCCACCATGGTTTGAAAAACAAGGGGTTGTTCTTATCAACAATCTTCCGATGTCTCATTTATGGGGGCCAGACTAAATTACACTTTTAATCTCACATTTAGTCTGGTTTGTCAGGCTACAGAACGGGGGTAAACAATACTTGGAAGTCCGGAAGCAAAAACTTGTCATAATCTGATAATCAAAATATGCATGTTCACTAGAAATTTCTTACACAGCTCGAATACTCTGGCACCGTTAGCTGGGAACAGGCAGCTGATATAGGAAACAGGAACAGGTGGATCTGATGTATGAAAATTAGCGCTTGGCGGAGCTAAGCAGGTGGAAGAAATGACCCAAATCCAGTGCCAAGATCATGACACTCTTGTGCATTTCTGAATTAGTCTCGTTCCCACTCTTGATTTGCCGTGCTGATTCTGTCCACTAAAACCCTCAAGTTGCGGGCACCCATGCATGAGAAATATGGAAACATTAAGAATATGTTTATAAGTTCCATTTTTGTTCAAATTTCATCAGTGTGTGAGAGGGGAGGTGATTCTCGGCAGGCAGGTATCTCTTGGCATAACACCTGCAGAGAGCTCCTTGCCTGCAGGGGCTACAGCTTGCTGCAAGTAGGACAGCTCCCATTTGCAACAACTGAAAAATGTTGCAAATTATGATGTATCTAAAATATCAGGAGCCTTAACCGAATCCTACCTGTGATGTGGAACCAGCAAGATCATCGTTGATGGGGCATTGCTGAATAGCTGGTCTCAAAACTTCATTGACCTGTATAAAAATTTATTTTTTAAATCTAGTTTAACAAGCTTCATTAATAAAGTTTTCAGATGAGTCCTGCTTTTTCCTCTTCTATAAAGCTAATTTAATTATTTAAAAAATCTTACCTGCAGTCTGTTGGTCGTTGATGTGAATCGCTCTCTCATTCTGGCAACCTATACAAAGAAACATCTATTAGTCACACAAACATTTTCAACATTACCACCCAGATGAGTGTTGTAACTAACCATTTTTAACCTTTTGTGACCTCTGTGTAGCCACTTTTTTGTTCTCAAATAAAAACACCCACACACCTGGGTTGCCAAGAGGATATGTCTTGCAAAATTGCTTCTCCTAAGTGGGATCGGGAAGCTTTGATTTTGCTTTAGGAACTGTTGTGGGGGCTTACAGGTTTAGGAATAAGGCAATACAAGCATCTTTGAATCAACACTTTAAGTTTGTGTTTGGTTGTCAGGATGTTATGCTGGTTACTGAGCAGAGTGGTGTGTGTTAAATGTTCCAAAAAAGTTAAAAAATAATCCACTGGACTTTGTTTCCAGGTTTGAAGGCGTTTCAATTCCCATCCAAGAAGCTTTTCAATTACAAATGTGAATGGAAATGCCTGTGAACCAAAACATCTTCAAACTTGGAAACAAAGTCCAGTGGATTTATTTTTAACTTTTTTTTACAATTATTATGATCTGGATGACTGAGAATCTTTACAAACATGTGTGTTAATTGAAGTTCCTTTTTTCCCTCCTCCAACATTAAAGTAAAAAGTATTGCTACTTATTTATCAGACGGACACAAACATGGAGAGGAATGTGTTTATTATGGCTGTAGTGGATTACCTTTATTATAGCCAAGTTTAATTTGGGGTCCATTAAAGGTTGTGAAATTTAATATCAAAGATTTAAACAGCACTATATAAATAAAAGCGATTTATTTGTACTTAAAAAAATAAAAACAGATATTGCACACTTACAAGAGCCATTTATCAGAGAGGGAGCTTAAAAAGCTCAAAAGAGACTGGGTGGGCAGGTTTTCTACTCTTTATTCGGTTCAAAGTTGAGAGGAACAGCAATCTTGCCACATTAAAAACATCCCGTTTATTGCTATTAAATCTATGGCTGTCTCTTCATCTAGCTATATTCAATACGATGGCAAATGTTTTTGGAATACTGGACTTTTATGAACATTCATGAGCCTAAATTGAGAATGTCTTATTTATGCTGAAGAGCTTTCTTCACAAGCACCAGATTTTATGTAGTGTGAAGGGGTTTTAACTTCTGTGTTATACTTTGCTTGGTAGATCTTTAGACAGATCCAAAATAGCAATTTCATTTGGAAGGACTTCAGTTTAAAGGCGTCTTGAGGCAGATGCATATACCGGATAGAGGTTATTTATTATATTCATATTCCCACAACCCCATACTGCGATAGTTAACTTCTTGATTTCAAGTCAGACATTTCATCATGTGATAGACAGTGAGTACCTTCCAAGCCTACTTATTGACCCTAGGCATAGATGGCCTTGACAAGGTTCTATGAACAATGATGATAGCATCTGTCTCTCCCTGTATCTCTGATTCCAATATATTTTTGGTTAAGCCCTGGCGATTAAATCCATTTTATTACTTTGTTCTGCTTCTTGTCATGTCTGAGTAAAATTTATTTAATTTCAGGTGTTTCTGTTTAACAGAAAATGTTGGTGTTCCTGAGATAAATTTCAAAGAGTCAAAGAGACATTATTTGTCAAAAGGTCTGGAGTGGCACTCCAGTAGGGTGAGATTTCAGTTTTGGTATAGCCCATCCAAGAAAAAACACTAAACCTAGGATTAACTAGATCCCTCCTGTGAGGTAAAACCAACAGGACCATTCTTGATAGATCAATGCTGATCAGCTGGTCTTTAATCTTAATTTTATTCTATGTTCCAAGTGTAAGAAAGATTATTTAATCTGAGGAAAATCAAACGTTTTTCTTAAAGCATTAACAGTCCTGTTTTCTAACATAGTCTCCTATGTCCTAAGAATGTGTCTTTAAGGTGGTAACAAATTAACTGGTATACTTTTTATTATGATCCCATGACTTCTGCTTTGTTTCTTAGCAATAAATTGAATTGAATCATGGTTAAAGAAACCTCACCTGCCACTTGAAGTTGAAAGATCAGAGTTTCTGTCTGATTTCAACAACCATCAAACAGAAAATATAAATATATAAATCAAACTTCCTAACCATCAAAGCACAACCGAGTGTTGGTGCGGCTCAGGTCCATCCCTGCTTGACCCCACTGTAGCAACGTCCTGATAATTATTGAGATGGGATACTTATCCCTGTTAAATTATCACTAATTAAAAAAGAATATGAAACTCTAAAAAATTTGCGGACATTCAATTACTTAAGTATTTTCCACTGTTGATTTCATTTATATTGGTAAAATTGTCCTTGTGCATGGTATTTGAATTATTTGGAGGTTATAAGAGTTCCCTTAGCACAAATATATTTAAAAAAGGCTATATAGGGACTTATTTTTCCTAGTCTCTAAGATCTTTCTAGCTCGGATACTCGGTGTAAGTTGTGAAACAGATAAATGTCAGTCCCTAACTATTTGTTGGTTGTAAAAGGTAGTTACTGCTTGGGCTACTTAGTTACTGTTTTTATGCTGTTGCAGCAGAGGGGCTTAGCTCAACAACAGTCATGAGCAGCTGGTGGAGAATATTTTATGACTGTTGAAAGCATGATCCTATCGTAAGTCTTGCACTACTTTGGACCTGAACTAAAATTTGTCAGGCAAGGGTCTTTAGTCTAACAAAAAGTATTTGCATATTATAATGGATCTAAAACATGAGGAGTCTTAACCAAATCTTACCTGTGATGTAGAACCAACAAGATCACCGTTGATGGAGCGCTGCTGAACATCTGGTCTAAAATCTTCGGTGTCCTGTATAAACATTTATATATTCCCAAAATGAGGACAATTAACTATAAAGAAAAGAAGCATTTTAAGCATTACTTGATCTATTTTATGAATCCAGTCTCATATCCTTCATTAATAAATCTTTTAGGTGGTAACGTGAAATAGTGGGCAGCTATGCTTTTTATTGAAACATGACTTGATGACTACTGTTTTCTCCTAAGAGCTAAAGCAAATTTAATTCAATTTAGTTTATTTATATGGCGCCAATTCACAAGACATGTAATGTCAAGGCACTTTTCAATACAGCCAGATCATACAGTCAAATTGATTCAAAGTTTTCTATTTAAGGAAAAACCAGCTGATTGCATCAACTCCTTTACTCAAAGGAAATCCCTCACACCAAGCATGCTTGTAGTGATAGTGGAGAGGAAAAACCTCCCTTTTAACAGGAAGAAACCTTCAGCAGAACCAGACTCAGTGTGAGCGGCCAACTGCAGAGGCCAACAGGGGTCCAAGGACACAGAAACATACATTCAGAAAGAAGCAGAGATACTACTTTCAACTTTCAACCAGCTCCACAGGCAGCCCCATCCAGATAACACACAGCCAGGCAGAAGAGCTCATAGCCAGCCCCCACGTCAGAACACGAACAGAACACATCCAGTTAGTCATAGTCAGCGAAACAGGACTACACAGAAAAAGAGGCAGAGTTCGAACATCTATAAACAAAGGTGTTGATGGCAGCAGCACAGCTTATTTTTCTCTCTTGGATGGTGTCACATCTAAAAGGGAACAGACCAGATCAAGCTACTATGAGAAAAAGCAGAGAGAGCATAGCCACGGCTGAAAAAAAATCTTACCTGCTGTCTGTTGGTCATTGATGTGAATCGCTCTCTCATTCTGGAAACCTACAAACAGAAACATCTATCAGTCATACGGCATAGATAATTGAAAAAAAATCTAGATTAATCTCACTGTAATCATGGGTTTAATCTAGATTAAAATGGCTCATTTGAATTCTGCAAAAGGAGTTGCTGAATCAGAATCACAATTATATTATTAATCCCTTGCGCGACATTTTTTCTGGCAGTGCAATCGGTTACCGAGGAGAGAAAAATAAAATTGTAAGTACAAATATGATATAAGAATAAAATTAAAATAAGATTAGAAAGACATGTATGTCCTACCTAGATAATAAGTAAATAAATAAAAGTAAGTCTTTAAACAGGTTTCTCAAGCCACGTGGCACAATAGACCAGGGGCTCATCTCCTGTTTCCAAAATAGATGACAAACTGCTGCAGAAAGCTTTTCTACAATGGTAACTGGTGATAAAAAGAGATAATTCAATAAGATATAATTGTGTTTAATAACTGTTAATTAAGATAAACGTGACTTCTGAACTTTAGGCCTACATAATAGGTCACGATTATCTGTTTACAGTCAGTAGCTTTGTGTCAGTCAGTCCAAGCTCTATTTCTACTTTTTTCACCAGTCACTCAGGCAGTCACTATAATGTCCTGTGAGGCTTGAGTAGCAGCAAGGGCTGCTGGGTACTGTCAAGATAGGGAAAACATCACCATTTTATCCAAATTTTGTGTGAAAGAGCGTTGTTTATGTAAGTAGTCTGTTCAGACTAAGCTAACATTATGTTCTGGAGGTTGCAGCTCTAAGTGTGAACATTGGCATCATCGGAAGCATGTTTCACCAGTTGAATATAAAGGAACAAGCATATATATCTTGGGATTTTGCATTGCATAAACGAAGAGCATCGTTGCTGGACCTTGGTTTCAGCATGAATTACTTGCTGGCAAAATGCTACAATATGAAGGAGAAAGTCATCATCAATATAGACTAAGCTCCCAACCTAACTTTGAGAAAAGTTAGGTTGGGAGCTTAGTCTATATTGATGTTGGTGAGTTGGTGAGAGCGTTTTAGCGTTTCCCTAGTGATTCTCTCTTCTGATTCCGTTCCCTCTCACCCACTGGCCTTGTGTGTCCCTGCCTGATCTGACCGCCTGAACCTTAGTTGGACTCCTGCTGGATTCTGCCTCTCTGTGCGTTTCTGTCTGAGCTGGACGGTGACGCACGGGACTCTGAACCTGTCTTCCAAAGTTCATGTTTGTCTGACCTGTATGATCGACGTACATGACTCTGAACCTGTCCTCCAAAGTGCATTTCTGTCTGAGCTGGATGCTCAACGCATGGGACTCTGAACCTGCCTTCACGCTCTGATGGATCCCTCAGCCCCGGATGTGTCC